TATTTTTTTCTTAATATTTTCATAAGCTCACATTCTGGCTTTGGCCTTCTGACATTATTCTTCTAGGATCCCTGTTATTACTTCCTGGTTATTGCCACAGGAGCAAATGGGTGGTGATCAGGAGCAAGGGAGGAGTCCTGAATCTCGCTCATGAGCCGTGCAACCTTGTGCAAGTTTCTTACCACCTGAGGCTCACTTTGCTGTCTTCAGCATAGAATGCTGGTTCTAGTTCTCTCATCACATGACATGATACTTAGCATGGTATCTAATATAGCCGTGTTAGGGATGGTTATCTGTGCCCCTCCTCTATTCTCCTACATGCCCTTCAATCTGAGGTCACTGGGGACCCCCTGACCAGTCACCAGAGGCTCTCCGAGTATCAGGCACTATGCAGGAGAGAGGAATGCAGCACAAAGTGGCAGTATCCTAGTCTCAAGGCACTGACGACTTGAACAATTGATAATAAGAAGTAGGTTAATAACCACAAATGTGTAGGAGGAGACTGTTTAGCCAGGAGAATGGAAACTGTGTTCATGTGGTCCCTTCACATGAAGTCTGGCTCTACCACGTGCCAGCTTGCAGTACTAGACGGACTTAATATGACGAGCACTGGGCTCTAAAGTGATTTATGTAAATGATTTAATTTGGTCCTCATGACAAGCCTATTTGCTGTTACTAGAGCATCTCATGGTTTTTTTTCCCCCCATGAATGGATGGACTGGGGACACTAAACCAGTCCTAGGAGCACAATGACTTGTATGTGGACATGTTTGGGCATGTCAAGCCACCCAGCTGCATGCAGAGTGAGTGGACACACAGCTGATACCTGAGGATGGCTGCTTTCCTTTGGAAAGATGGCTTGGCTGTGAAGGAGCAGTCAAGCAAATGAGGGAGGCAAAGGCCAAGGCAACGTCAAGAGGCAAACAACACTGAGAGCCTCAATGGGGGGGTTCCGCAAGACTGCGTCAAGCCTCAGATGCCAGAGGGTGTTTGATGGGACCCTGAGGTGTTCTGACCTTCCAGCTTGTTCTGCCTGGTGGGAACACTGTCCCAGACTCAGAAGAGCTGCCGTGCACCCAGGGAGACGTGATACACTGCTGTGTGGTCTCCTCACACCACTTCTCTGGTGTGACAGCACCTACCCCACTGAGCTGATGGGGGCCCCAAATCCAGAACTGGCTGGGTTTGAATTTGCTGCCTCTGGTGTCCTGGCTAGAGTGGGGTGCTGTGCTTCAGTTCCTGGTTGTGTCCCTTACTGGCTTGGTGGCTTCCTACTCGTCACCCAACTCATCTGGGCGTCAACATCCTCCTTTGCAGAATGCACATAGTAAGATGCCTCAAAGGTGATTCCCACTTGACATTCTCACCAGCAGGCACAAGGGTTCTGATTTCCTCACATCCTCACTGACGTGTGTTATTTCCCACATTTTGATAGCGTCCATCCCAGCGGGTGGGAAGTGGTAACTCACTGCGGTTTTGATTTACAATTTCCCAATTATGAGTGACGTTGAGCATCTTTTCATGTGCTTATTGGCCATCTGTATATCTTCTCTGGAAAAAAAGTCCATCCAAGTCCTCTGCCCATGTAAAAATTAGGTTGTTTGATTATTTATGGTGTTGTTGACTTGTACTCAACATATACTCCGGATATTAATCCCGTATCAGATACATGATTTGCAACTATTTCCCCCCATTCTATGGGTAGGTTCCCCCCCACCGGCCCCGCCATACTAGATCGGCTTTTTGGTGCACGAAAAGTTTTAGTTTAATGAAGTCCCTTTTATCTCCTTTTTTCTTTCATTTCCTGTGTTTTTGGTGTGATACTTAAGAAACCATTGCTAGACCCAAGATCATAAAGATTTTCTGCTACATTTTCCTCTAACAGCCAATTACTTCTAATCGAATGGCGCACTTGAAAGTGGTCAAGATGGGTTACTAGAATCACAAGTTGGCAAAGATGTGGTGAAATGGAATAGCAGGTGTGGGGGGAAATGTGGAGAAACTGAATCCCTCGTGTGCTGCTAGTGGATCGCAACATGGTGCAGACACCATGGAAGGCGGGATGGATGTTCTTCAAAAAATTAAAAACAGGACGACTGTATGATCCAGCCATGGAAAGCAGAGTCTCGAAGAGCTATCTGCTCACACATGTTGACAGCAGCACTATTCACAACAGTCAAGAGGTGAAAGAAACCCAAATGTCCAGCCATGGATGGACGGACAAACAAAATCTGGCGCACACATACAACAGATTATCCAGTCTTTGAAAGGAAGGCCGTTCTGACACAGGCTATGGCAAGGATGGACCCTGAGGACGATATGTTAAGTGGAATCCGTCAGTCACAGAAAGGCAAGTGCAGTGGCAATCTCCTTGAATGAGGTATCTAAAGTAGCCAAATTCATGGAAACCGAAGTAGAAAGGTTACTGTATCAGGGGATGCAGGGAGGGAGGGTTGGGGAAAAGGGGACTTGTTATTTAATGGGTATAGAGTTTCAGATGTGCAAGATGAAGTTCTGGAGATTTGTTTCACAACACTGGGAATATACTTAACTACTGAGCTGCACGGTTAACAATGGTTCAAGTAGTAAATTTTATGTTGTGTCTATTTTACCGCAATGAAAATGTTTATCTCCTCCACTTCATAAAGAGAGGGTTTATTGAACAATAGATTTTTAAGTATGGATACAAGATTATTCTGTAAACTACAGTCTACATCGGAACTCTGAGGTGAAGACATCCTGACAGGTGAATCTAACTTTTGTCCACTCTTCTTCTACAGAATCCTTTATCCAGTTGAGCCTAAATATACCCTCCTCCCTGTGGTTTCACCCTCTGGTCCTACTTCTACCTCTGAAGTCTATAGGGCAAGTCCAATCCCTTGCTGGGTGGTTGGTGGCCGTAGGGATGACTGACTAACTGTGTGTCTCCCTTGGCCAGCTCAGACCACACACTCGGATGTAGGCAAGAGACAGAGAAAAGCAGACCTGTTCCACCACCTAGTAATGGAGGTGGAATTTGAACCCAGGTGTCCCTAACTCCAAAGCCTATGGTTCTCATGCTAGACCAGACTGCCTCTGGGCCAGTTTCCTCTTCAGCCGTCTTTTCTACGAACCCTCAGTCTTTTCTCTTGTGGCTTTGTTCTGCTTCCCCCATCCCTTCAGCTCATTCTTCCTCTTGAGGCAAACCACAGGGTAAGTTCCCGCCTTGTCTGGGCAAGCCCTCGCTCTCGCTACAGACACTGCCCACCTTTCCAGTAATGTCCGACCGGACCCGCACCTTGCAGAGGGAGAGGCCACTGGCAGAAATCCATTCTGAGGCCCCTGATGACCTCTTCCCTGCCAACTCTTCCCCTTGCTAAAAGCTGAAACCAGCCCCGTTCTCTCCTGCAATATTTCCTCCCAGGAGTTCCTGCAAGGGAAGATGTTGCCATCCCAGGATTAACAGTCTGTTTGTTTAAAGGGCTTATTACTGGTGCTTAATGCTATTTTGACAGATGAAAGTGAGTCAATTATAGCTGGAAATAGCTCTGGCTGTAAACGTTTCTTATAGGTAGTAGCCCATTCCCTGTCTGAGGGACTATTTCTCTTTACCATGAGCGAGTCCTTCCCCTTCTCGCATCTCCTCTGACCCCCAAACCTTTCCTCCTTCCAGGCAGAGACAACATATAAGGCATGGAGCCTAGACTCCATAAGATGGGGGGCGTTGCTGAGACAGGGAGGAAGTAGATGTTCAAGGAAGACTTCACAGGCCAACCTCCAGGATAAGGAATGTGGCCCCAGTGAGCCCTCTGTCCATCAGGTGTCACTCTGCTCCATCAGCCACAAGCGTAGCCACCTCTTCCTGAATGTTTTGCTTGGTTTTGCTCAGGGGTAATGGGTTTCCGTGCTGGCAACACAGCCTAATCAGATCAGGGCTGGTCACAGGCTTGGGGGTCTCGGGGGTCACCTTTGTGAGGACAGCAAGAATCTATGTGGGTTGGACAGAGAGCTTTCTGGGGGCCACACTGAATTATGCTTGGGCCCCAGGAAAGAGCATTTCAATATCATCATGGGTCTATACAATGCGCTCACTTGTGCCACTGGAGCAGGATGGTGAAGTGCCACGTGTTTGGGTGAGGTGGGTACCGGTCTTGATCCCAAGCTGCAAGCTCAGGAGTGTGGACAGGCGTATTTGTAACAGGCATCTCAAACTTAATATGTCCAAACTTAATACCCCCAAATGCGCATGGGCTCTCCTCTCACAGAAAATGGCACCACTGTCCACCCATACTCTCAAGCACTAATTCTTTTTTTAAAAAAAATTTTTAAAGATCTTATTTATTTATTTGATAGAGAGAGATCACAAGTAGTCAGGGAGTCAGGCAGAGAAAGAGGGGCGAGTGGCTCCTGAGCAGAGAGCCCCACAAGGGGCTCGATCCCAAGACCCTAAAACCATGACCTGAGCCAAAGACAGAGGTTTAACCCACTGAGCCACCCAGGCACCCCTCAAACTCTAATCCTAACAGCCATTCTGGATTCTTCTCTTCTCTCCCTCCTCGAGATCCTCAAATAGAACCCACCAACAAATCCTGCTGCCCCATGCCAAAGTTTCCAGCTAATCTGAGCGACCTGTTGCCTATCTGCTACCACGACCCCAGTCTTGGCCACAAGCTTTCAGGACGCAGACCATTGCAAGAGCTTCCAGCCCATTTTCCTCTTTCCATCCTTGCCCCTCATGGTTTACTCCCTACGCAGCCCCGATGGGAGGACCGTTTTCAACCCAGCTCTCCGGGCGGGCACTACGGATTGGTCAAACCAGACGTGCCAGAAGAAACCCATTTACAAGCCCCAGCTCCTGTCTCCAGGAAGGGACGTGCAGGAAGACCTGGCTGATGCCGAGGTCATAGAACTCACGCGTGGTAAGCTGGGATGCAAATGCGTCTGGGGGGTGAATATCGCCCACCAAGCCCTGCCCAGGCTCCGCGCCGGCCCCCTGCCCACCCCGTGGAGAGGCCGCTCACCCGCGGACGGCGTGCAGCAGGCGCAGAGAGGGGTACGCAGTACGCACGTTGACGCGGTGCTTCAGGATGAGCTCGTTGACCCACTCAACGCGCTCCTTGCCGCCCCTGGCCATGAAGGCGGGAATCCACAGGATGCTGCCGTTGAGACTGTGCAGCCGCTGGAGCAGCTTCTCCCGCCACGTGGCGTTGACCAAGTCCTCAAAGGCCCGTTGGATGACGGAGGGGTTCATGGTCACCAGGTCGGTCTTGAGCCCCACGTCCCGCGCGTACTCCTGCACCGGGGCCAGGTTGCACCTGCCAGAGAGAAAGGCGTCACGGTCCTTTGGGGAAAGATGAGACGCTGCTGCCTACATTTCATTTCATCCAACCTCTACCTCCCGTCCCCTCCTCCTCATCTTCCAGCACGCCCCCCCACCCCCACAATCATCCCTGCCTCCCGTATTTACTAGGCTCTTACCACATACACGCTGGCCCCTGGGGCAGTACAGTGTGTGCCTTCTGGAGTTCCAGATCTAGTGGAGCAGGAAGGGGGCGAGTAAGCCAGCCTCAGCCCACAAGACGGCCATGCTACAAGCAGGTGCTACCTGGCCACATTAGGTAACAGCAAGGGCTCTGAAGGCACAATCCCAGGTTCAGAATTCACTCTGCTACTTTCTACCTGTGTGATTCTAGGCAAACTCCTCAACCTCTCTGAGCTTCCCAAGAGCTTCCCTACAGCTAAGGAATATGCACAGTGGTGTCTTTAGCTGTGATGGAGATCTCAAGAGCACCCCTTCCCAGGGATTAAAGGAGTCAGCACATACCCACTACTCAGAACACTGCTGGACCACACTAAGATCTCAATGTGATCTAGTCTCACGTTACTACAGGAAAAAGGAGCATTAGATGGTATTCTAGAGGCGGTGACCACTGAGGGACATCTGGACGGATGAAGGAGAACTAATCCCTTTGTGGATGAGGCAATTAGAAGAGTGTTTCTCTAGCTTGTCAGACCAGAGCAATCACCTCAGGTGGTAGTTAAAAATACAGATTCATCGGGTCTCTAGCCTGGGGACCCAGATTCAGCAGGTGAGCAGAGGAACTGGTAGTTATTTTTATAAGCCCGTCAGGTGATTCTTATGACCAGGCAGTTTAGGGAACATTGCATTTTGGCATTATAGGCACGAGTAATGTATCTAAGGGTGTAGAGGTGCAAAACAGTATGGGGACTTAGGGGGAGACAAATAATTCGCTCTGCCTGGGACATATTGTGTGGAGGAGACAAAGCTGGAGAGGTAAACAGAGCATATATGTTGGGCATGTGGTTCCAAGAACAAAAGGGAGCCACAGAAGATTCTTGAGCAGGAGAGTAACACGACAAATGGGCATTTTAGGTAACAGGTAGGCAATAAGATGAAATTGTAGTAGGTATTGGATTGGATAGAATTGGGTCTGGGAAGACAAACTAAAAAGGCCATTGCAATCTTGTGCTGAACTAGCCAGGGACTCTGGGTAGGCAACCTCTGATATCTCACCAGAGGCCTGCTTTGTGGGGGACCTTCCCACCTTCATGGGTCTAGCTTGGGTGTGCATACTGGGACTTCTTGCCTATGCTGCAAGCTAATAGGCCTGGGCTGGCCACAGGGGAGGCCTGGCTGCTTACTGCACAGAGGATCTGATGGTGGAAGAGCCCTTTGACCAGTGGAATTAAGTCTGAGGAACTAGAGTAAGTGTTTGTAGAACAGAGGCTGGAGATATGAAGACCAGGGCCATAAGTCATTGCCAAACGATGAGACCCAGAGAGACACCACTCACCCTCCTTGCAAGCCAGGACTTTTCTTCCTTCAACATTTGAGGAGGAAAAGTAGGATGATCAGAAAGAAAATGAACATCCTTGTGCTCCTGGTGTGTGCCAGCCCCCGGTCCTTTAACACGGGTCAGCTAATTTTATTCTGACTCTGTGTTAATCACCCTCATTTTACAGATGAGGAGCCCAAGGCCAGAAAGTGCAATGTAACTTGCCCAGAGCGAGTAAGAGAAGCCCCAGGATTCAGTCTCTGATGTGTCCGACTCTAAGGCCTGTTTGATGCTCAGACTAGACCCCCTGAAATACCCACCGTCCTCATTCCCACCCTGGCCTTGCTATCTGTGACTGTGGCTACACGCTGCAGGGGTGTGATGGTTTGGGACACCTTCAGGGCCCCTTGCCTCGGACCTCAGAGGAATGGAGTGCCATTATCCCTATTGTCCTGAACCCCGCTGAGCCAGGTTTTCAAGACCGTCCTGAGAGCCTGGGGCCTCCCCTGGGCCAACCTCCAGGTCCTGAAAGCAGGGGGGAGGGAATTGGATTCAAGGCAGTTCACATCTGCTGAGTCCACCAAGGGCCAGCGGGGGCTGCCCCCGACAGGCTTCCAGGTTGGTCAAGGGAGGGAAAACGGGTGCGTGCACGCTCAGCTACAGTACTGGTCAGTTGGGGTGTCGTCCAAGTGCCCTGCTGGAGACTCTGGGGAGCTCTGGGACTGCGAGCAGCCTGAGGCGGGCTCCCCACCTCATTCAACCTGGGACCCAGCTCATGGCAGGTGTTCCAGGCAGGGGAGGGCTGTGAGGGCCAGGCTACGCCCATGACCATGTTTCAGGGCCTCTCCTTGAGTGCAGATGATGGAGGCAGCTCTGCCTTGCTGTACCCCTCCTTCACAGGGCAGTTTTCCTTATGGGGGTGGTCGGGGGGATCAGGATGGGAATAAGCTTGCTCTAACAGCAGGCCAGGTCTCCCAAAGCAAATTCTCGGGGCGCTGTCAGTGGGCTGCACTGCTTTGACGGGCATGACTCTGGGCTGGAAAGGAGTCTGTCCCTTCCAGAAACAGGCATGTCCATAGGTCCAGGGGGAGAGGCAATCTGCTGGAGAGAGCAGTGGCTCATGCTTGGCTCTGAGCCATACTGCCTGGGCCCACAGCTTGAGCCTGGCCACCCAAGCATGCTATGGACCTGTGGCTCTCTGTACCTCAGTTTCCTTCCTGTAAAAGCCAGCCCCAAATGGAACATTCCTGATAGGGTTGTTGTGAGAATTGCATAAGTCAATTGACATGAAGTGCCTAGAATTACACTTGGTGCATGCTAAGTGCCCAATGATCGTGACAATGAGAGTGATGATTTGTCTGTGAGGGGGCATTCATTCATTAGGTTCTCCTATTGAAGGTGAGTGTGTGTGTCTGTGGTGTGTGTGTATGTGTGTGTGTGTGTGTGTGTGTGAGAGAGAGAGAGAGAGAGAGAGAGAGAGAGAGCGAGCATGCAATGAAGTTTTGATTCCCAAACATCTGAGAATTTATTCTGTACTAAATGACTCCGAGTTAGGCAGTCCCCTCGGCCTGCCACTGCAGCCTCATGGGGACACTGCAGGGACCAGCACTCCTGTCCGGCCCCAATTCCCAGCAGCACTTTAGGTGGGCAGCCTGGGCTCAGTCAAGCCCCAGCCTCCACCATCCATGAATCTAGTCTCTTGCTTCCATGCCTTTCCTCCTGCTGCTTCCTCCTGCTCAAGTTTTTCATTTGCTAACGTCTGCTTCTTCCAGAAGCCTGACCTGAACTCCCCTCAGGAATGCAGAATGTTTTGCAAGCTCACTGCGTTTTGCATGCAGGCCTTTTCAGTGTGGAGCATTCTGAGAGGCGTAAGGTCTTGGGGTCTCCCAGGCAGGGGAGAGGCCCCATTACCACAGAGCAAAGCAAAGTGATGGAAGACTTCGGTTGACAGAGACCGAGAACATCCCATCAGGACCCTCCTGGTGTCTCTTATCTCACAGAGCCTGGAGCCTGAGCTCAGAGTCCCCTGTCTGTGCCAGGCTCAGGCTTGGACTGGTGTCCAGAGATGGACAGGAGCATCTTGCTTTGGGGGAGCTCATGGTCAGCATGGGGTGGGTGGGGTGGAGACGCAGGGTTCCTGGAGAGTTCTCATTCAGAGAAGCAAATGCTACAGGAGAGGTGGTGTGGAATTGTGAGGTGGCCTCCCTCCCCGCACCTCAGGGGAAGGCAGGGCAGGGAATGAACTCTCAGTGTGCTCTATTGTGGGCGACACCGTCTAGACACACACATGCCAATTCAGGCTGTGGCCACAGCATCTCACCGCATTTCCTCTCAGTGGGGGCTGTGGCCTATAGGATCCCCCAGAGGGAAAGTGGGTGGTCTCCCTAAGGAAGAAGAGCCCAGGGTGTCCCTGACGGCAGCCAGGGCTGCCACCTGGCATCATGCGGGTTCTGTATACAGTGCGCCTTTGTAATTTTGTCTTGAATTGCCAGGGCAGGGCTGGGTGGGCCATGCAGACCTCACCACTGAAGCTTGTGGCAAAGGAAGAAGCATTGCTTATGCGTATGACTCCAAGTCAGGAAGGCCTGGTACCCCCTACTCTCACACTCTGCTCACACCTTTAAACCCCGCCACCCAACCCTCACCCTTGCCCTGGCTTCCATCAGACACCTGCCCTGCTTCCTTCCCCCTTGCATTCCCCCTCCGTCCCTAAGTCTGTAGACAGGAGGGCTTTGAGAATGGGGGCCAAGTCCCGGGCTACACCAGGCACAGGCATAATCTGGCAAAGGCTACCAAGCTAAACCAGGTTTGGCTGCGAGGTGGCCGTGGCGCTTCTGTCACAGTGGATGCAGGAATCAACACAGCGTCTAATCCCACGGCCTGAGGTCGTTTCCCAAAGCGCCAGGACAAGGCTCTCTTTGCATCAGGACAGCCCCAGAGGAAACGTGAGATGCGGTATGCCCTTCTGCCAGGGCTGGGGCACTGTTTGGGACGAAACTTGAGTCTCTGTGTGCCCTACTTCTGACCAGGGGACAGCAAAGCCTTGTTCCCAGTCCATCTGGGTTGGGGGTCAGGTATCAGGGCCATGGGTAACTGAGTCCAATTGGGTCCCAGGAGATGGAACAATGAGAGCTGACATTTCAGGGAGAATGATGGTCAAGTCCAAGTTTCTCTGCCACCCCCTCACTTCCCAGTTTTTGACTACAGGATAATAGTCACTAGCAGAGCACCGCCTTCGAGAACACTTGTACGAGGTTTGCAAACTTGAACTGACAACTGGCTGGCCTAGGCTTTATCTATGGGTCGGCAGACTTTTTCCATAAAGGGCTAGGCATTATTTTCGGATTCTGGCATATGCTCTCTCTGTTGCTACACTTCAACTCTGCCCAACTAATTTAGCCACTGAGGATATGAAAATGAATGGGCATGACTGTGTTCCAATAAAACTTTATTGATAAAAACAGGCTGTTGGCCATAGTCTGCCTACCTCTGTGCCAGGTTAGGGATTCTCAACCTTGACGGTACACCAGACCATTTGGGTTTCCTCGGCTACATCCTGCTGACCCCTCAGACTGACCTAATCAGTCTGGGGTGCAGTTCGGACACTGGGACTTTTAAAGGCGCCTCAAGAAATTCTAATGCACAAAGGTGAGAACGGGGACTAACCCAAGCATAGTCTCTCGTTTCAACCTCTTGGGATAACTGGCCGTGCACCACTTAAACCTGCCTGTCGCTTTGGGCCCAGAGCCCCTGCTGTGGTTACCTGATGACAAAGCTGTGTGTGTCGATCTCCTGCCCGCAGCCGCTGTTCAGCAAGACCCCCGAGTTGCCCACAATGGCACAAGTCCGGAAGTGTTTGTTCTTCAGGGGAGAGGTTCTGGGGAGGAGATCGTAGAGGTTCTGTGACACGTTCATCGTACTGTCACGATCAAAGATGTAATGAATGATGTCTCCAGGCTTCAGGGTCCCCTTGAGGACAGAGATGTCCTTTTCAGCATCCAAGAACTTCAGGATTTGCTTCCTACAGAAACCAAGCACACATGAGGAACAAGTTTCCCTGTGGCCAGCTGCCCTTTGTCAACCCAGCTTTTCCTGTCCTCTGTCCCCCCGTGGCCTGACGCAGCCAGCACACAGGCGAAGCTGAGTTCGGGTGCCCTCTGAGAATGCATTCTAGGTGGGGAGTATCAGAAATGGCCCAGAGGCAACTATGGTGAGGGCCGGTCTGGTTTTTGTGGTTATGGCCTCTTCCTATGAGAGGTGGTAACTGCCCAGGGAGATGACTCTATTAGGACATAGTAAGAGCTCACCACAGAAGGCCCTGGGAGGAAGGGTGTCTCACCATTCTGGTTTGCCCAGGACAGCCTGCTTTTAGCATTGAAATCCAATGTCCCAGGGAACCCCTGTTTTGGACACTTCCAGTATCACCAGATATCACACTCCCTCTCAGTGGGATTCGGGGCCAGCTTCTGACAGGGGGTCCTGAGCCAGGATTAGGAAGCCAGGATGACACATGTCCCTCACTCCTCAGCGGTCTATTTTCTTCCACAAAAATCTTCTCTAGGAGAAGGGATATCCCATGGCGTGAATGGGAGTGTAGATACTGTGAGGTGTGTCAACTCCTCTACCTTTGAGAGACTGAGAACGTGGCCTGCCATCCCTGAGTCGGTCCATTCCGTGGACTGTGCTGCTCTGCACCCCACTGCTATCTAGTTCGAGTTTATAAAAATTGATCCTCCTCTGGTCCCTCAGAGAAATTCCTTTGTGCTGTTTCAGAACAAAGGTGAGAGGAGGACAGCTCCCTAGTCTCCGGGATGACTTTGATTTAGGGGGAATGTTCTAGAATCATCTAGCAAAGTACACAGCTGGAATGGGGTGTGGTCAGAAAAAGGATAGGTGTCTTCTCAGAATTGCCTGGGGAGATGTACTTAAACCACTCAGACCTAGCTGGGGGATTCTAGCTGGGGTGGAGGTGTTTACTGTCTGAATCTCCTAAAACATCTTTAGAAATGATTTAAGTCAGAGAAAGAAATTTGGTCCCCACAGTAGCCCTACATGAACTTCATTTCCTGCTGCAAGCCCCTTTCGAGCATAGATACAATGATGCCAATCTTCTTTTCCGCAGAGCCCTGGCAGGACAAAACTTCTTCCTGCACTTTGCAAATGTGAGAATTTGCAAGATAGTTGCCGCATTGTGCAGATGATAACGTTGATGCCTGAGAGCCTGTAGGACTGGAGATGTTGGTCACCAGCGGTGTGTCCCAGCAGCATGCCCATTCAAGCCCCCAGGGAACTATAAAGAATTCGGAAGCTTTGGGTTCACACCTGAGAAATCCTGACTTTGAGAGTGGTTCAGGCTCTGCCTGCTTCCTAACGCTCAGCAGGGAGCTTTAACATGTGGCTGGATTTGGGAGCCTCTGGCGTAGCCAAGGGGTGGCTAGAGTGCTTGGCAGGGCACACTGGAAGGAAGTTCTTCTTCCACTAGTCTTATTAATGACCTGGATCTCTTGCCATCACGCAGGGGAGACACTCCTGGCTGAATAATTTGTATCTCTTGATGGGAAAAGAAGCATTATATTTATTTACTGCCCTTTACCAAGGATTCTACAACTTGACAAACTAATACAGCATGGAGATTGCTAAAACCTCTGCAATCACTTACCCCAAAGTATTTAAAAGTAAAGAGAGTCCCTAGAAAGTCCATAAAATAAACACCTCTATGAGTGAATTGATTTATACCTAATTATGAGAAATTACTATCAATTATTAAACATCATTCCGAATCACTCACAGCATCTTTTATTAATAATAATTTGGGTGATTAATCGAAGGGAGTTGAAGGAAATTCTTTTTCCCCCTGGGTGAAGGCACATTGTTCTTGCCAGGTGGCTGTGTTTGTAGGCTGCCATGGTCTGGTCCCCTCTGAAAGTGTGTGTGTGTGTGTGTGTGTGTGTGTGTGTGTGTGTGTGTTAAGTGTCCATCTGTCTACCCAGTGGCAGAGGAAAGGCCAGGGGTATGCAGGTGGGCTTGTGCTGGTGGGAGGATTTCACTCACAGATGGTGTGGTGGGGTGCTCCCCCCACCAGATATATGTCTACTTCCTAATCCTCAGAACCCAAGATGTGGCTTTATTTGGAAATAGCACCTTTGAGAACGTAATGAAACTAAAGCTCTTGAGATGGTCCTGGATTACCTGGTGGGCCCCAAAGCCAATGACAAGTGTCCTTACAAGAGGCGGGAGAGGGAACCCCCCAGACACAGAAGAGATGGGGACAGGGATTGGAGAGATGAGGCCACAGGGCTGAGGAAGGGCTGAAGCATCCCCCTTCCTCCCTGTACACCCCTAAGCCCCCAAAACGCAGAGGGAGCACTTGGAACTCCGGCCCCAGAGCTGGAAGAGAACATGTTTCTGTTGTCCTAAGCCACCAAGTGGGTGAGAATTGGCTAAGAGCAACCCAACCCTGGGAGACTATTGTACATGATCTCACGGATGGATCCAAGAGTGCTGCTGATCCAAGGGTGAGTGATAAAGACCTGTATCTGGTCGGCCCAGGGGGCCTCAGAAGGGGCACTGGTGAGGGTGGCAGAACTGTGGTGCCAGGAGTCGGTTCCTTCAGGTGGCTTCTCGGCTGCTGGGTCCCGGGTCTCATGTGTCTCTAGCTCCCACCCCCATTCCCCCTCATGTCCCCAATGAAGCCTTGGACTAGGGCGTGGGGCATTTCCATTCTGACAGAGGGCCTCCCTGGAGGGGGCACCTCCCTGCTCCTTGTGGGAACACCTGGTAGCTCTGGGCCCCCTGCTCTCCCTCCCCAGGTGGAAGGCCAGCGAAGGTTGGCTGCCATAGTCCAGGCTTTCTCCATCTGGTCCAGACTACCTCGCCAACCTCCCCACCCACATTCTGTACCTCCTACTTCATGCCCCAGCAGCACAGGGCACGGACACCGGATGCCAGGCTGTGCGCAAGTGGGACGAAGCCTGGCATGCCTGTCAAACTCCTAATTACCTTTTTAATCCCACTGCTCCTTTTCTGGCTCTCCTGCTTCATCCCCCTTTTCTCTCCTCAGTGTGATCTCTGCATTTCCACTGATTCATGCGATGCAACACCACCTAATGTGTGTGTCACATGGCGCTGTCCTGTCTTATATCTGTGTCTCTCCACTAGCATGTCTGCTTTATGTTAGCACCCTGGGCCCCCAGCACGATGCCAGGGTTCTACTGACCAAGCTTTGGTGGGTCAGTCATGGCTATATCAATGTCAAGTACTCAAAATGTTGATGCTGTATTTCCTTCTTTACAGCTCTCCATCCCTGCCACCCAGCAGTGACTGCGGAGCTCTGAGACATCATCCTAGAAGCTCAGGACAAGAGCTCCTCTCTGGCTAAGCACACCTCTCCTCTTTATGTCAGCTCCTGGGTCACCCACAGACAGCGGTGCAAGTGCCAGAAAAGGACTCTTGCTTTGGATAGCCTGGGAGAAGCCACCTGTGGTCTCCACCACTCAGGCTCCTGCTGTTGCTGACCCGAGAGCCTCACTCCTTCCAGAACCCAGGACCTCAGCTGGGAGCTCCTGACACCTCCCCAGCCCTAGTCGCTGCACACACGTGTTGGGCTGCTAGGGTTGTCTCGGGTTTTTATTTCCAATTGATTGCTTACGGATGAAACCTGCCTCAGCGGGAGGTAAACATTTTATTTCTATCCTGACTTCTTTAGATGATGGAGAGCGGCAATTTGCCGGCTTGTGCCGAAGAAGGCCAAGGCTCTCTCTTGTCCTATAGGTAATTACCACTACCTGATCCTCAGAGAGAGCGTCTGGTTGTGCCTCCATTTGGCTGAGGCTGGCTGGATGTTGTGCTTAATGCTTTCATTACTTCTGTCAACAACAGCTGGCGATGAGGAGCCATTTATTACAACTTCAGCTCTGGAAGGAAAAAAAAAAAAAGAGAAAGAGGGTAGACATGATCTGTTAGCATGCCGATGACAAGTCTAATAGTTTTGTTTTTGCATGGGCTTGGATGTAAACTTCGGGAGAGCAAAATTGCAGTTATTACCTGAGAAGGGAAGGAAGTCTATTTATCTTCTAGAATGCACAAATTCTCTCCCTCAGGTATATGGTACATACAGTTTGGAGACGGGGAAGGGGGTGGTAGAACTCTCTTTCTCTCCATCCCTCACCCCAATGTCTCCTCCCAGTGAAACCTAGCTGTCAACCATTGGAATAGTAATACACCTTCGAGTTACTTTGGCAAAACTCTGCAGTTGCATTAGCAGCTAGGGGGGCATCAGATGGTCTACAAAACTTAATAAAGAGAAAACAAAAGCTCATACCAGGGAAAAGCAAAGCAGCCTGTGGCTTTCCCCTCCTCCCTCTTATCGTATCACTGCCCTGTTCGTACTCTCAGATGACACCTCACACCTTGCTCCACAGTTCTCGGTGCTCGGTCTCCCTCTCCCATTGTCTGTAAGCAGGGGAGCTCCCTCATTCATTTCTTTTTTGTCTAAAGGTCTAACATAGCAGGTGCTCAGTAAATGTTTGTTGAACTTGAATTTCACCCTGGATGGGTGAAGGAGCTGGTTGGCCCTGCATGTCCAGGGCAAATCACAATTCTGGCTGCACAGCATCTCTCTACCTGACTCAGGAACACTAAGCATTCGGGACCCGCTTGAATTCTGAGGTTTGAAATCTATGCTAGTAGGTTTCTAAGAAACTAGGTTACAATTACATCTCTGAAGGCAGCGTAGTCGCCAGCCTGCCTTTATCGGATGCGTACAGATGCATGTGGGTCACGTCAGGTATTGCTTTTGTCTATGCTGACAGCAGATTCTCCCACTTCGAGTGATAAGTGGATCTGTGATGCCAAATTTTGGAGCTCTAAAGAATTCCAACCAAACATCTATGTCCTCAGCATTTATCTGGAAACGGCCAAGTTAAAAGAGATGCAGTTCTTTTAATGAAGTCTACAGCCGATGCTCTACTTTGCTTTTTGTAGGTAGAAAAGAAATTCAGTTGGGGGTGCAAATTATCTCTGCACATTCTCCCCACACTCCTCCATTGCTCAATATTCCTGAGTCCTCTGGCTGATATCTCCTGTTTTGGATTCAAACATATGTAACTTTTGCAGAGGACTAGAAGAGGAAATAGAAGACCCTTGGAAATTTTGTTGTTTTCATGAAAGGAAGCAGAAGGTGTCATGGAAAGATTTCACAAGCTGTGTGACTGTGAGTAAATCATTTTACTTCTTGGAGATTCAGTTTCCCCATTTATAGGAAGAGGAAGATACCCAGCACTAAGGACCTAGAATTCTGTAAGGACCACGAGGTCTCCTGCACCTGTCACTGACGGCCCTCTCATTAAACTGCAGGAGCTGCTGCTTGTGGTCAAAACCCTTTGGCACTGCCTCCTTCTGCACAGACCACAGGTAGGAGTGGTGACACTTGGGACCACAGATCTAGCTGTTACACCTCAAGATCCCAAACTTCACTGTAGCTTGCATCAGACAGTATTTGTGATAGAAACACTTGACTTCTGTGTTTTCCAAACAGGACTTCCAAACTTGACTTATTTTCCAAACAGGCTAGCTGATGTTCTCACTGGTAATAAATGATCAGAACCTGGCATCTTATGGCTTAATGTGGATTCAGTCTTAAGGTGAAGCTTCCGAGAAACTGTGGCACATTGGTTGACCTCAGGCTCTCTCAGGCCAGAAGGATCTGCAGAGGTACCTATCCTGGGTGCTTGCCCAGGGAATTTTCTTGGAAAAATCCAGAAGAAGTTTCCAGGCTTCTCTGGGACAGAGTGGTGGAGGGGAGGAAGGGAAAGAGATAAACGCTGGCATGACTAGTGGTAAAATTCCATTTTTGTCTCCACTTCCTAGTGAAAAGGTCTTGGAGGAGACCTTATGCCTCTAGTTGTGGTCTTCCTGGAGTTAATCCTGGCTCTGTGGCTGTTAAGCTGGGGGACTTGGTCAAGTCACCTTGGGTCTCTGTCCTCCACTTTCTTCTCTGTAACATTGGAGGGATGGATTAGGTGACCCAGGAGCCAACTCAAGTCACTGGTTTTACATGCTCTCTGTTGCACAAACTCAGCTGGATTAGTGGGTCATTCCAATGCAATGAGGAAACAGGTTCAGATGGGAGAAATAATTTGCTCATGGCCCCAACTAACAAGCATGGGGAATGAATCCTGGTCTGCCTGGCTCCCAGGGCTTTTTCTTCCTACTTCTCATACTTGATTTTGAATAAGACTCTTCCTCCCTCAAGTTACCATGGAGCACAGCTGTGGCAAGATCATGGGTCAAGATCTTGTTTCTCCAAAAGGGAACATTTTTCCACAGTAGAAAGAGAGGAACTTAGGGCCACATGGCATCCTCTTTTATTTCTGCATTTTACTAGGCATAGTGCAAGCTTCATTTGTAGCTCCCAGGTGGTTAAGAGGTCATTAGAGAGCTAGAAGCAATGATGTCAGGGAGAGAGGGGTCACTTTCCTGAATCATGTGGGGTCAGGAATGGACATATTGAATAGGTCTGATATGGTCAAGAGACCTAAAAAAAAAATCTATGGAGGGGCAAATAAGAGACCCTAATCCAAACCATTTGGATCTCTCATCCCCAGACTGACCACAGTAGGATATTTAGAAAGTAAGACAAGGACTTCATTTTCAGTAGTAACTGTTTGTGTCAAACAATGTGGCAATATTTCTTCCTTCCAATGTTCCTTAAGCTCAGGCTCATAGGCTGTAGGTCAGAGCTATGGGGCAGTTGTCATCAGTGGAGAATGCGGACTCAAAAGCATGGTCCAACCATAGCCAGTGGCAAGTGTGGGTTTGTTAGCCGCAAAAGCATTTGCTCGCTTCTGTGTATCAAGCAGCCTCTGGCCAAGGATCATCACAGGAGAAAACTTGCTTTCAGAATTTAGATTGTGCATTCAACAGTCAAGATGAACATCACTGAGTTGACTCCCTAAATATTTTTAAGAGGTCTTTGTGAAGTTCCTGAATGGTTTATTTTCCATCTTAATCTCCTGGATAAGCCACCTACACAATGAAATTGAGTGAGAGACCTGATTCTCTTTAGAGCTTCCACTGCTCAGCAAAAATGCAAGTTGTGAATAAGCACATTGGTGGCTCAAGTGCTTCAAAATGTGTGGGCTCTTTTCCAGAAAGTAGCTCTTTCCCATCTCAGTTTTCCATCTCTACAGCCTCTAGACCTTGGGCCATTTCCTGGGCTCTTCTATCGACAGCTCCTCCCCAAAAGTGATTAGGGAAATGCAAAGCCAAAGTGAAACAAAACAGATCTATTTGCTAAGTAAGAAGGGCACCATCCAGCAAAGAGGAGAAACAGATTAATAGCTGCCTTACAGCAAAAACAAATGAACACAAAATCTAATTTACAAACCTATTAGATTTGCTATGTAAGCTGTTCACAGCTGATCTGATTGTACCTCTCCCTCCAGAATCCCTGCAAGACAAAGGAAATGCATTATTTATAAACCCAGCTCTTCTTCCCAAAGCCCTCTTCAATCACCAGGAGATCCCGCAGCCTGCCTGGAGAACCGTAGAGGGAGGATGAGATCTCACTCTGGCTTCTCCAGAGTGGGCAACATCCTGGCACAGCCACAGACCCAAGCATTTTACAGGGAAGTAGGCCTCCCAGATTCCCCCCCTCCCCCGCCCCGCTCCCACTTGAACACTGTTACAAATCATAGGATTGTTTCCACTTGAGATCATTTGAGTCTTGAGACTAACTTCTTTGAGATGAATCTCCCCTAGTTAATCCCTCAGCATGACTCAGCATGACTCAGCATCTGCTCTAGCATGTCTTAGCATGACTTGGCCTTCACTCTAGCATGATTCAGCATCTGCCCCTGGTCTTCTCTTGCTCTCACTCACGTGTTAGGATGTTGTCCCTCACATTCTAAACCTAAGACACCAGAAGTTCAACAGAAGACTGGATGTGATAATGATTTGCTTTTTTGGTGGCAGGAAAAATAATAAGTGGTGTCACTTTGTTGGGGGCAAGGAGCAGGTGATGGGTGATTAATAGGGTCGTTTGCTTCTTCCTCTAGAATATAGGTTTTTGGAGTAGAAACCTTCTAGGGCTCTTTCCAGCTCCACCACCTATTCCTTCTGGAAAATTCCATTCTGAAGGGGGCCTCTAGGGCCATGAAGTGTCACCCTGCTTTGCTATCACACAAGGCCAGGGAAGAGATGAATCCATCCACCCTCAGTAGTCCACTCTGTGACCTCTGTGTGTTTTTAAAAAGTTGTGAGACTAATTATTTTTATTAAATTGAATATTTTTTTCTCCCCTGATTTATAGCATGTGTGGTGGAGGAGCTCTTTCTTCACACTTTTCTCATTTCTAAACTTCCATCTAGCTTTTCCATCAGGGTGTTGGAGCACTCCAGAGAAACGATTAAATCACTGGTGAAGCTGTATGTTTCAAGGGATCCTGTGATTTAATGAGAACTCTTTGGGGGAAGTGAATGCCTGTCTCTACACTGTTGAGTCTGGATTTTTCTGTCTGCTTTCTTTAGGGTTACCTTATCTGTAGTTATAACGCCGTGTGTGGGTTTTGTGTATGCATGTGTGTGAAAACATATATGCCTTTTCCTGATGGACTGAAACATCTTTTCAGCATTATTTGGCATCAGGCAACATTCTCCCACTTCACAGCCAGACAATCCGACAACAGGAAGTACGCTATGTCCTGCCCAGAGCCTCCTCCCTTAGGTCTTTCCTCAGGTCTCCAATTTCCATCCCTCCCGGTCTAGTTCTTGATTGCATGGAGTGTCATTGGTTCTTCACATTTTAAATCAATGTCTAGTATTTCCTTTTTGTCCCTCCTTGTCTCTCCCTGGGAAGACAGAGCTCTGCTCTGGCATTTTTAACTCAGGGGTCTGGGAATATCGGGCCAGCTCTGGACCTGTAACTACATCTACTCAGATCAAACCCCAAGGGCTTTCCTGGGTGTACTGTTGTCCACATGTCACTGACCTTGCACATCCCCCAATCCTGACCCCTGTCCTCAAAATCAGTACTCTTCGCAGGGAGGGAAGACCTGTAGGGCCAGATACTCAGTCAAATGCAGTAATTAAAAGTGTGGTAATAGCTCAAGGCTAATGAAAGGTTAATGGAACAAAAAAGATCATCCAGAAAGACTTCATATAAGAATTGATATGTGACTTTAAAAAATCATGATCAATGAGAAATTCAGTAAACGGTTTGGAGTAGTTGGTTAACAACCTGGAGGTGAGGCGGAGGGGAATCCGTTGAGTATTACTTTAGTCTATACATCAAAATGATCTCAAGTGATTTAACTAGTGTTTCCTAAATGCCAGCTATTCTCTTACTACCAGTTCACCATGTTTTATCACTCACATACATTACTTCCTTAAGTTTTAAAACTGACTCATCTTTGAAAACTCCTGATCCTAAGCAATGCCATCTGTGAAAATACATGTTTGATATAGGGATTAGATGGCACTTGAAAAGAACGCAATGTCATTAATACAAAAATATTTAACACTGGAATTCCTAAAGCCATATTATCTCTGAGAATACTTCTAGAACCCTCTGAAAAAGACTAAATTGCAGAGGTACCCATTTAAGGAAGGGATCCCATAAGAAACCGGTGAGAAAATGGAAGAGAATATTTATCAAATCTTTGATGAGGTATGAAGAGTATATGCAAAGGACTTTTTAAAATTCAGAAGGGTAAGAAGAAGTCATAAGAGAAAATATAAGACAGATCTGACTTTATAAAAACTTAAAACTTGGCTTATACAAAAAAGCAATCCTCAAAAGACCCCATGCACAATGTCTTTCATGAAATCGAAGCGGGCATCAGGAAAGAGAGCACTGTCTCTATGCAGCCCTCTGGTTTAACGGGACCAGGGGTTTGGAGAGAACCACGTGCCCAACAACAACTGTCCCAGGTCTTTCTCTTCTGCCTCCAGACCAGGTCCCGAGTGGCACCAAGACATATGGAGTTCAGCAGCATCTTGGCCTCCATCACTTTATGCCAACAGCAGCCCTTCCCCCATCCCCCAATTTATGACAACCAAAAATGTGTCACCAGACTCACCAAATGTCCCCGGGGGCAGGGGGGCAAAATTGTCTCCATTCAGAATTTCTGCTCTAACTCTTGTTTCTGCCTGGTGTCCCTGGGAAGAGGGATCTCCTACCGGCCAGCCTATCTGCTATCACCTTCCTCCTCTGACCACCAAGCCAACATCTGTGTTTCCCTTCCAAACCATCCCATTTTCATTTTTCCATCTTTCCTTTTCCTCCCAGAGCATTCAGTTGTCTTACAGCATTTGTGACTTCCGTGCTGTATTTAATTATTTCAACTATTTCTTGAACTCACAGGTGGGGGGGCTTTAAAGAAATCTCATGTGCATGGTCCAAACTCCTCCTCCTAGAGTTGGAACCGGGGCCTGGCGATTTGGTCCTGGTTGCAGTTTCTTGGCTGCTCACCACACTAGAACATCAGCCCCTGGAGGGCATGCATTAACCAGGTCTTTTATTTTCTGTATTCTGAAGCGTTGTGGACTCTGGAGGGACTGACCCTCCCAGGGTTAGCCAATTCCTAGAGACAGTAAACAACTCATTTGGGAGTGCACCTTTCAAAGGCAAACCAACCAATCTAGCGCCCACACCACACCCCCTGTTATCTCCCTTACTGGGGTCTCACACTCTGGGCTACTATCCCCCTGTCCTAATCACCCCAGAGCCAGGTACTAGAGAGCTAGGGGCAGCCCCTATATCCCAGAGCCTGCTGGATTTATTCAACCTAGCCAGCCTCAGCCTGCTTGCCCTGCCTCACTCTTCCTTCCTATGAGAATGACAATAAAGGCTCTTGTCCACAGTCTTCCTCATCTTTCTGCCTCCTGGGTGACCTGGGATCTGGAAGTATAATAAAATATCGTTTTAGTGGCAATCATCCCCCGACCTGTTGGTCTGACCATACCTAAATGATGATAAAACCTGTATTAAAAGAGACGGGGACCCTGTCTTGTTCACCTTCACAGCCTTCCCCAACTGTGGCTTACTGAATCAAATCTAACTTCCAGGTTAAGTGGGACTTTTCTTCCAAAGTCTTCCCTTCCCAGTGAGCATGCCATGTTCCTGCATACGATTTACACCTGTACAAGACACAGTTCCCCCTTTCAGATATCCATAGGATGGGGCACACCATCATTCCAAGAAACAGACAGTAGATGTTTGCCTCAACAAGAATTACATGAACTGACAACGGATTTTTATTTTATTTTTTTTTTCTGATTAGGATTTTGCCTTCAGTGTTATTAAAATAAGCCTGCATTCCTTACAATGAAGGAATGTTGATACCTGCTTGGTTGAGTGACATAAGATGATCAGGTGAGAAAAATTTGCTAAAGATAATTCACAGTGTGCTGAAGTCATAGAAACAAAGGCACTTGGATAATCCAAAGGAGAAGACATATGGAAAAGCACTTTGCACACCTAAAGAACTCTATAAAACAAGGTACAATACTAGTAATAACCACTGTTAAATATTCTCAGCCATAGTGATGATAGAAATTGATTGCTTTACAGTCCTGCATTTTAGGACAGTGATCTCCTTTCCACCACTGACCTAATACTCCCTCTGAGTAGAGTGTACTTGGTAAACTAAGACAATGCATAAAAATGATATGTTGAGAAAAAAAAAAGGCATCATGTACAGTTAGCTCTGTTCTAGTGAAAAGCAATTAGCAAATCTGAAAGCTGCATTTCTGTGTTGTCTCTTTGCCCAAGCCCAGTTGTTGATGGGTAAGGGAACATCCAGTGTGTTGGGGTCTTGTAGCTGTTTAGAATCTCCTGTGTTCTCTGTTTGTCACTGGAGAGTGAGGCTCAGTAAACAAACTGTCAGCTTTAATTAAGAGTCTAGACCCAACTTAAACAACTGACTAGTCTTGAGAATAAAAGATTAAACTAAAGCACAAATCATGAATTTGCAGATGGTTCTTCCTTCCTTCCTTCAGAGTTTTGGGAGGATACTGAATTTTTTTTTTTTTTAATTTGAAAGATTTTATTTATTTGACAGAGAGAGAGACAGTGAGAGAGGAAACATAAGCATGGGGAGTGGGAGAGGGAGAAGCAAACTCCCTACCGAGCAGGGAGCCCCGTGCGGGGCTCTATCCCAGGACCTGGGGATCATGACCTGAGCTGAAGGCAGATGCTTAACCAACTGTGCCACCCAGGAGCCCCTTTTCCTTCAATTTTTGCATAAAACCAGTTGGGGTTCCTTCCTGTTGTCTAAGGGACACACTATAAATATATGGCTCCAGAAATGCATGGTGGGGAGGACTGTAAGAAAAGGGATAATTCATTTGGGGTCAGTCACATGGACAGAGCTAGGGCTCCTGGGTTCAGCGTTAGAGGATGGGCTTCTTTTTAATTGTGGCAAAATATACTTAACATAAAATTCCCATT